CTTGGATGCAGCTGCTCGGCCATGGAAACCCATTCCATACATTATACAGTCGCCTCCATATCCTCCTGGTAATTGCCCTTCTATTGGCCAATGGCTGATCCGCCTCCATATCCTCCTGGTAATTGCCCTTCTATTGGCCAATGGCTGATCCGCCTCCATATCCTCCTGGTAATTGCCCTTCCATTGGCCAAAGGCTGATCCCCCTCCTTGGTTTTTGGCCAATGGCTGATCCACCTCCATATCATCCTAAGAACTAGCCTTCCACTGGCCAATCCACCTCCGTATCCTCTTAGTAACTAGCCTTCCATTGGCCAATGGCTGATCCACCTCCGTATCCTCTTAGTAACTAGCCTTCCATTGGCCAATGGCTGATCCACCTCCGTATCCTCTTAGTAACTAGCCTTCCATTGGCCAATGGCTGATCCACCTCCGTATCCTCTTAGTAACTAGCCTTCCATTGGCCAATGGGCCAAGGAGGAGGATCAGCCATTTGCTGAAAATGCTTCAAAAACAATCGGAGAAATGAAACACAAATGCTCAACTGGGAGCTGAGAAAGTCGCTTTCCCCCTTTCATGGTCGATGGCGAGTGTTTTCAGGTGATTTGGGGCTTGAGCATCAGCCAATGGGGCGCTAGTCACCAGGAGGAGGCTGAGGTGTTAGTGAGGCTCCTTCATTGAAGTCTATAGTGACCCCGCCGGAAAAAGGAGGTTGAGTGACAGGTGACTACGAGACAACGTGGATAAGGATGAGATTCTTCATGGTGATGGTTGTCCCGCTCCTGGGAGCGTTCCGGACGTGATTGGAGGGCGGTGAAACGCCCTTTCCATTGGCCCCTCCCCCTTATAACCTTCATTGTCTCATCTTCCTTCTGCAGAGGTGAAAGACTTTGCGCTGGTCTCCATTCACACCAGTCCTGACTACGCCGTGCTGGAGGTGGACGGCCTCTTCGACGTGTGGGAGGCGACCAAGCAGCGGCTACTCTTGGAGGTCCATTTTGTTTTGTTATCGACGTGACTGAAGGAAGGTCACCACGTGCCGCCTAATTCACATGTGGAAATCGTCTTCCTCAGGACATCGTTATCTTGGGGGACTATAACGCCGGCTGCAACTACGTGAAGAGCCAACACTGGCCCCGGATCCGCCTCCGCCAGGACGCCAGCCTGCGGTGGCTGATCGCCGACGATGCCGATACCAACGTGAGCAACAACTCGGCTTGCCCTTATGACAGGTGAGAGGGACGCCGCGAGGCTGCATGGAAGGACGACACACAAAAATCTTCCACATTTCCATGTTGAATTAAAAAAAAGCAGGGGTCTCAACGTTCCGGCCCGCGGGCCAATTGCGGCCCTGGAGCCGGTACTATGTGGCCCGCAGCCAGCTGACAACTCGGGCACAGGGTCACGGACCGCTTACCTGACTTGCGGGAGCAGCCCCGCGGTCTGTATCTCTGTCGGAGGCAGAGAGCGTGCAGCTGATTCTGCGTCGGCGCTCCGATCCTTATCGCCCGGCGCTCTTTCAGTGAACGCCGGGCGAAAGGATTGATTAGTAAGGTCTGCTTGGAGTTGATTCATTTATTTTCGCGCGTTGTTAGGAATTTCGGAAGTAAATAATGTTTTTGATACAAAAGTATAATGAAGTTATTTATAGATTACTAATAATTACAAAAATAAACATTCTTAATATATTTTCTTTCTAGATTGAATGCATTGGGATGTAATACAGCACTATGGCCACTAGAGGGAGCTGAGCAGCGCAGGAAATAGACACTTATTCCCCACGCGCTCCACAGCGCCACCTAGAGGCTGCAATGAAACATTACATCCGATACATTCGCCCTGAAAATATATCCGAGCTCGTCGTGTTTATTCACACAGAACAAATCTCCCGAAAGATTCAACGAGGTGAATGTCTCTGCAAATTGTTTGTCCCCCCCCCGAGTGATATTCTTATCTCCCCGTTATGGTTTTAGGATTGTGGTTGGCGGGTCAGATCTACAGAACTCAGTTGTCGCAGACTCCGCAAAGGTGTTCAACTACCAGGTGGAATATGGACTCACCTATGAGGAGGTATCACAGAATATTTACATTTCATTTCCTTTCTGTATACCTGCAGAGCGCTTCCTGGTATGTGAGTGTGCCTAGGCACTATAGCTGTATATCTGCAGAGCACTTCCTGGTATGTGAGTGTGCCTAGGCACTATAGCTGTATATCTGCAGAGCTCTTCCTGGTATGTGAGTGTGCCTAGGCACTATAGCTTTATATCTGCAGAGCGCTTCCTGGTATGTGAGTGTGCCTAGGCACTCCTGTAGCCTCATAGCTGTACATCTGCAGAGCTCTTCCTGCTATGTGAGTGTGCCTAGGCACTCCTGTAGTCTCATAGCTGTATATCTGCAGAGCGCTTCCTGGCATTTGAGTGTGCCTAGGCACTATAGATGTATATCTGTAGAGCTCTTCCTGGTATGTGAGTGTGCCTAGGCACTCCTGTAGTCTCATAGCTGTATATCTGCAGAGCGCTTCCTGGCATGCGAGTGTGCCTAGGCACTCCGGTAGCCTCATAGCTGTACATCTGCAGAGCTCTTCCTGCTATGCGAGTGTGCCTAGGCACTATAGCTGTATATCTGCAGAGCACTTCCTGGTATGTGAGTGTGCCTAGGCACTCCTGTAGCCTCATAGCTGTACATCTGCAGAGCTCTTCCTGCTATGTGAGTGTGCCTAGGCACTATAGCTGTATATCTGCAGACCACTTCCTGGTATGCGAGTGTGCCTAGGCACTCCTGTAGTCTCATAGCTGTATATCTGCAGAGCTCTTCCTGCTATGTGAGTGTGCCTAGGCACTCCGGTAGCTTCATGGCATATAAAGTGATTTAAGGGCTTACAAAGGTTCTTCTTTTCCAACTGCAGGCCAAGGCGGTCTCCGATCACTACCCAGTGGAGGTGGAAATACGTAATGACCGTGAGTACCCCGGAGCATTATTTATGGGGGGCAGCCGAAGCTTAAGGGCCGGTGTTCTATCGAAAGCTCCAACTCATCGAAATCTCCAACTACCTGACTTCCGGTGCTCGGAAAGACCGGAGCTCTGCACAGTTGCGGTGCGCATGCGCGCAGAGCGTGTTCAGAATACTCGTCGAGTTCTCCGCCTGCTGAATATTGTTACAATGCGGCCGTACGGAAGCTCCGCCAGTCTTCGTGTTTCGCAGTCTAACGCCGTCCGGTCGAAATCTCCAACTTGCAGAGTACCCGGCCGTGAGGTAGTTGGAGATTTCGATAGAACACCGGTAATGGGGCGGGGGCAGCCTGAGGTTGGCTTCCTGGTAGAGTAATGGAGGAAGACCCCCATTGTGTTTTGTTGTCTTTCCCCCTATACACTATATCGCCAGAAGTATCGGGACGCCTTTACACGCACCTGAACTCTAATGGCCCCCCAGTCTTAGTCCGTGGGGTTTCAGACGAACCGCCGAATCAACTGAATTACGTTGATTTGCAGGTTCATCCGAATGCACATGGTTCTACTCACCTGATCCTCAGTCCCGCGGCGGTCGGCGCTTACCTCTCCGCTCCGGCGGCGGTCTATCCCTCAGCATCCTCACGTGTAATGCGAGTCAATGGATGTGATGGAGACTGCCACGGCCCGGGAACGAAGGGGCCGTGGGGAGCAGCCCAGCGGGACTGAGGATCAGGTGAGTATATCTGCTCCTCCTGGACAAAGTGAGCATGTAATCCTCGCAGTGCGGTGGTTGCCCAGCAACAAGGGTAAGTAGAGTTCTTCTTTAACCTCTTGCCGTCCGCCCGTAGTAAAAAAACGGACGGACGGTTTTTTTTTTTTAAATTTCGGTAATTTTTCCTTAATATAGTAAAAAAATGTAAACCCCCCAGTGGTGAATAAATACCACCAAAAGAAAGCTCTATCTGTCCCCAAAAAATGGTATAAAATTCATTTCAGTACAGCGCTGCATGACGGAATAAATGTCAGTCAAAGTACCGCAGCGCTGAATACTGAAAAATGGCCGGGACAGGAAGGGGGTTTAACACCGCGGATGTCAACTGGTTAAAATGTACCCGGGGGGGCATCCATTTTTGTTAACCACTTCCGGGCCGCAATATGTCTACAGACGGCGGCCCGTTAAAATGGTTAAAACGAGAACACGGATGAGGCTGCAGCAGCCGTGTTCTTGGTACCGCTTTCAACAGCCAGCGATGGCTGTTAATGTACAAGCGATCCGGCCTCTGTACAGCCGCCGGATCGTTTGCACCGTGGGGCGGCCCTTCTTCTCCCCCTCCCCCCCTCTGCGGCCACCGTTGTCTGTCCCCGTGCGGCGCCCGGGAACAGCTCGCAATGATCGGAGAGAGAGAGAGAGATTCAGCTGCTGATCTCTCCTCCGATCACTGGACCCGGAAGTGACGTGCATCACATCACTTCCGGTGTCACTCGTTACAGTCTCCTCCTCTCAGAGCCAGGAGAAGAAGCTGGTGAAGCAGATCTCGGCTTCCTCAGCTTCTTTGGGGTCCCTAGGTGACATGGGGTCCCTGATGGGACACTAACTAGGGACCTGGGGTCCCTGATGTCTCCATAAAGAGGACCTATCATCCCCTATCTGCTATTACGTAGGGTGCTTGTTAGCCCCCTAGTTAGTGTAAAAAAAAAAAAAAAAAGAAAAAGAAAAAAAAAAAAAAAAAGCGTTTAAAAGTTATAAAAATGAAAGTAACATAAAAGAAAAAGAAAAAAAAAAATGCAATTTTTTTTTTTAAAGTCCCCCTCCCCCCATGTGCATGCACATACACACGCAAAAACACGCGTCGGTGCGCCTACGTGCGGATACGACCATTGCGCTACACACGTTACATATCGCCGCGAACGTCGGAGTGAGAGCTAATATTCCCGGCCCAGCAATCACTGATAACACTAAACTGATGAGCGGTAAAAATCGGTTATTGACTTTTTTTGCGTGCTTCACGGGCGAACGCAATTTTAAGGCTTGACATGTCTGGTGTCTATTTACCCGACGTGACCCCCGACTTTTATATTTTACCAAAAAAGTGGGTATTATGTTATGTTTCTGTGCACTAAATGTTAATTAAGTCTATTTTTTCCTAAAAAATACCGGTTTGATAAACATTTGCCTCAAAAAACGTGCGACGTAAAAAAAAAAAAATTGCAACTAGCATCTTTTTGTTCTACACGGCCTCTGCTTCCAGAAAATATAGGGAGGGGGAATCGGGGGGGTCTGAAGCTGTTTTGTAGCCCAAAATGTATATTTTATTATGTGTGCGCAAATAATAAAAAAATGCCCCGGGCAGCAACAATATGTCACAACCAGTTTTGTGAATTCATTGTAAAGCTCAGTAAGGCTGGGTTCACACCTAGGCGTATTGCAAAAGCGCGTCTGTCGCGCGTTTTTTTTACCGCGATTCGCGGTAAAAAAGTAGCGCGACAGTCGCGCGTTTCCGAAGGCGTTTCCCAAGGCTACTTGGCTGTATTCCAATGGAAAACGCCCTACAAAACGGCCCAAAGTAGTGCCTGTACCTTTTCAGGCGCGGGCCGTTTTGTAGCGCGTTCGGGACGGGCGGAAATACGCCGAGTTGGGAACGAGTCCATTGACTCCAATGCAATTTATATTTTTGAGCGTTTTGTAGAGCGTTCATCGAGCGTAGAACGCGCTACAAAACGTTCAGGTGTGAACGAGGGCTAACACCTCAGAAACCTTCTGACACAACAACAACAACAACAACAACAACAACTCATCTCCCCTTCCTCTTTTCAGCCCTGTACAGCGGTCAGCGCTTCGGAGTCAGCGCTAGCATTGGGATAAGCGGAGGCCTTTCCCTAAACGGGGTCTGCGACTGCGTGGGGGTGGACTTCACATCCTGCGCGGGGCGCTGCGGTGCCAACGCAAACAGTTACCCGTGCAACTGCAACGCCACATGTAACAACAACGCACGGTGTTGTGCTGACTACGCAGCGATGTGCAAACTGTAATTCCAATACTTTGCGTAAACATATACAGTATAAGTGTGAAGATTCAGAATGTTTATGCGACCAATAAAATCATTCCTGTCACGTGTGTTTTCCGACAATGCTTTTTTTCCTTGAAAAACAACCGCGGCCATTTATAGAACCTGCAGAAAATTGATGCGCATGTGTTCCAGACAGCTTGGCGCCACCGTTAGCCCTCATTCACACTAGGAACGGCCGGCACGTACAGCTCCCGGGAAGGACAGGTGCTGCGTGTGATTAGTACGCAGCACCCGTCCTTCTCTATGGGCTACGCGGCCGTACGCCCCCCTA